TTTGTGGGGGCTGAGGGCCTTGGGGGCTTGGGGCTGGGGGTAGGGGATGGGGAGGGGTTAAGGACGACAGGAACGCGAGACAGAATCCCGGCAGAGGGGTCTGGGATGGATGGATGGAAAGATGGATGGGGTGGAGTACGCAGCATGGAAGAAGGCACTTGAGTCTCAGGGAACGAATGGATGATTGAATGGATGGATGGATGCATGACATGCATGCGAGACGGTGTCTGAAAACCAGCGGGAAGGCAAGATGATGACGTAGAGATGTGCACGTGAGAGGGGGCCTGGTTCACAGCTGGCCGGTCTCTTTCCCGCGGCTCTGCCGCAATGGCAACGCTGGAACTGGAATGCCATGTCATCCGCTGCCAGAGTAGACCCCACATCCTTGGAGCCTGGCCAGCAAGGCAGCGACAGGCCGGGTGCTCTTCTCAGAGCCCACCTTTGTGTCCCACTCGGAGAGAGGTTCGAGAGATATTCCCTGCCAGCAGTGGCAGTTCGTTGTGCACGTGGCTCGTTTTGTCATATACACTGGTTCCTTCTTGTCCCAGTCATTTCCAGTTCAATTATTTGACGCCCCTTTTGTTCCGAGACTCGTACCCCAAATGACAAAATTTTCGGGCTTCCCTCGTGCACAGATGTACTGTTAATATCTTCCTCGCAGAATGGAGCTCGATTGTTCATTTGATTATTCAGTGACACAACATAACACAAAAAATAATTATTTCCCAACGGTTTTTTTGCATATTTTGAAGATGAAATATTTTCTGCAGTCTACTCTGGAGACAATTACTCATACGATTACATGTTTTACATATACTTCAATTTAAATTGTATGGAAAAGCTCCAAACAACAAAAGGATGAGAGAAATAAACAAAAGGAGGAGCGTTGAATGTGTTAGGCGCAGAAATTAAGAGCAGGTCAGAAGGGAGAGAGGCCGCTTGGCTTTGAATATTTACGGTCAATAAGTCAAGAATATGCGTCGGGGGGCTGGGGATATCCTGCGCACGAAATTATGAGCTTCAGCATGACGAAGGGGGGAGATCACAGTCCCTCGGGGTACAACCGGGTCCCCTCGTCCCGGGCAGCGGACCCCGGCCCGGGACTGACCGGGCAGGAGCGAGCCAAATTCGACTGACCAGGAGGGCGGTTTGCAAAAACGGTATCCTAGGAGTATATTCCAGATCCGAGACGGCGCGCAACGGTCGAGCGCGGATGATGGGCCTAAAGCCAGGTCAGGGCAGCGCGGACGGGCAGGAAAGTGGAAAGGGCTGGGGCAGGGGCTGGTCAGGCCTGGTCCCCGCCCTCCGGGCCCAACCTGGTTCGGTAGACGTAAAGTCAGAATGTGGTCCCGCGTTCTGTGGGGGGACGCACGAGCAGTGGTGGAAGTAACGGCAATAAGACCTGTGGAAGGGAGCCGCCGTAAATTTCATGCTGTTGGGGAGTGGGTCTACGTAAAATCATGATATTACTCACACACTCACTGACCAGGGCTGGGTCCCCGGCGAAGGGAAGACCTTTTCTGCAAACACCGAAAATCCAAATGTTGGATCCCATAGCTGCAAACACTACATCTACTTTCCAAAAGAGCGCATTTGAGTGGGATGGCAAAGTCAAAGAAGTTTGAGGATCTGCCTCCCTCCCGTGCGCCGGTGCTGTTGGGGGAGGTGTTACTCTCCTTGTGGATCTCCGAACTTTGGACCTACCTTGTGCAGAGTGAGCTCATTCTTCCAAATCACTTTTCTTCCTACGAAGACCAATATTTGACTTAGTGATCCCTTCATCTCCCATTAAAAAATCGAAATATAGCCAACGATAACCAACCTTGTATACTTTATTTTCTCCATACAATTCATTGGCTAGGAAAGATTATGGTGTATGTATATCAACCTCCTACTTATACTCCATTGTCCAGATGAAGGAGATAACTTTGTACACAGTTGGTGGTCAAAATGGAAATTTCCGGCACATGATGTACAAGACGGTATTTGTGTGTAGTCTATCCATTACATGAGAATATGAGCCTTATATAACGAATTTACAAAAGCCCTCGCATCTTGACAATGGGATGCGGATGCGGAGGACGAGAGTGAAATCCAGTGGCTCATGAACCGAAGTGTCTGGACACAAAAGGCTTCCTTGCTAACCCCGGGGATGATTTCCACCCCTCCATGGACCGGGGTTTTGACCCCCTCCTCGCAGTACCATTCTAGCCCCGGGGTTCAGAGGGCAAGGCAAGGGAGGGGGTCTCACAAGACGTGCTGGATCATGCCCACGTACCTCCTCACCTAGAATCAGCAAAAGCTTCTTCTCCCGTAAACTCCGTCCGGGGGCTAATGAGCACACGACGGCGGCAGCAGCAGCAGCGCACAGCGACTCACGCGGGCGATGGAGCGGATGGACGACCCAAGAGTCGAAGCGAGGCCAAGAGAAGGAGGGCGTTAGGGACGGGGGTTGGGGCTGCCGGGGGGGATGGGGGAGAGGAACGAGCCTTCCGGAATGGGGAACTGCGGATCGAAGGGCAAGAAGAGGGGATTCCAGAGGTGGGGGGAGAGAGGGACAGAGAGTTAGTTCGTTCGTTGCCCCAGCCGGTAACCGGAAACCTGGACCGGCCGAGAGAGAAGCAGGGAGGGTGGGGCTCTGATTGGCGGATCGCGGTCGGGAGGAGGGGGCAAAGGAGGGAAGCCCGAGCCGGGAGCGTGGACGCCACTTGGCGAGTCGATCGGGCCGCCCCGATGAACGACAGCCGTCGATTCGCGAGCACGAGAGGACAGGACGACGGGGCGAGGTGGTCATAGGCTGCTAGCTCTAAGCTCGAGTGATCCAAGGGACCCCCGATCGGAAAGCCTGGCACAGATCTGTGCCGGAATTCATGATTGGCAGAGACGAGCCCCTGACCATATTCTTCCAAGTGTATGTGTGTCTGTCCGTTCACATGGTGGTACGGCGGGACAGGGGCTCAGAGCGAGAGAGAGGGAGACAGAGGGACCGACAGAGAAGAGAGCAAGGGAAGAGAAAGGAAGGGAAGGGAGGAATGGGCTTCGGCGTGAGAATGGAAGAGAAGGTGAGAGTACCTTTAAGTGGGGGATCGAATCCCATTCAAGGGACAGGAAGGGGGGGGACTGCGGACTTTGGACCTTGCGAATGAAAGCCATTCGGTCGACGACGTCTGGGCCAACGCGAATTGTACAGAGAGGACCTCATCTCCCGGCAGTTAAAACAGTGGAGAGCTACCCGCCCGAGATTACGTTGACAAGATTTGGGGGAAGGGGTTGGGGGACGAGGGCGTCGGGGATTATGGTTGCGCGCACACTTCATTCATGTCATGCCCCTCCGTCGACACTGCGTCCGCCTTCTTGATACGGCCTCGTCCGGTCCACGTTGCAGTTGACGGCGCTCTCCGCCATAATGGGCGAGATCGACCCCTTCATGACACGTGTCGAGCGCCCATTCGCCTACTTCTCCAGATTAACGGTCCAACGAAGATGCATAATTCTCAGTCTGCGCTCCGATCTTAGCACTCCTCCTCCCCCCAGCCCCACTTCATTGTAGGCAAGCCCTAAAGAGAACCCCCTCCCCCTGCCCCCATCACCACGACCCCACCCCCACCCCCCACACAACCCCGAACCCCCGACCTCAAACCCCACATTAACACCCGCCTGCCTGCGACGAGCCTACTCATTCCTTGCGACATGCTCTCAGTGGCATTGAGTGCACATGGACGGAAACTCTATTCCTCAATCCTTTCCCTGTTTCACGAGCTTCGGGGGCGATGTACAAAATCGCCACCGGTGTCGTGGAAGTGACCGAGTACACTGAAGTCGAGATCCGTCGAGATTTGTTCCCCCGGATACGCGAAACAGCAGGCCCCAACGTGTCGTTTGGAGCTAGCTCATGCTAACTCGACACCGTGTTCTAGAGATCTAGCGTGGCTCACGTTCATTACAGCCTACAGTACTTGCCGATCCGAGCATTCGCATTTTCCATATTTTCCTCGGCGGCCTTCATAATGCGGTCTATCCTGCAGTTGCTTCCCTTCCACGGACATCCTTGAGATGAGCTCCACTACCACCCGTATCGCGGCGTCGCGCTCACTAACAGCGTTGGGCTTGAAGAGACATGGTTCAAGTCACAAGTCAACCGAGCCCACGGGAAGTACGTGCTCTCTGCGAGCTCCAAAGGACAGGAGCAGCTTCAAGCCTAGAGTGGATCTGTCACCGTAGCTGCTGAGGACTGTATATCCACTGAGTGCTGAGCCCACTCGCGCAGCCAATTCGATCCTAAGCACACATTCTACGAATACATTCACTCCACTTCGACATGCAAATCCATCAGCTCCCAACAAAAATTACACACTTCAGCGTTCTTTTTCTACCATCAGTCGGGGACACAAGAGAAGCATGTGATGTCAGAACTCGAAAACAACAATGCGAGGGAAAAGACTCGAAAGCACGAAAGAGGAAGGACAGAAGGGGTGGCTTGGCTGGAATAGACGTGACAACGAAGTGACAGCGACGACGACAGTGCAGAAGGCCCCGAGGGGAGGTTCATTGTCGGAACAGCTCAGCTGCGCGCATTGACCAACGGCCAAGGACTAGTGGGCCGCAGAAGTCCACAGGAGAAAACAGTTGTACCAGGACAGTTGATCCCTTGATACTCGAGGGTTACAACTGGCAGAAAGAAAGCCATCGGAGGATGCTTAGAAAAAGTACACCAAGCAAAATACATAGCAACAATGTGTACATCTCTCGATCAGGTGAACTTCTGAAAAATCGACCTCAGATGGTCATATAACTGCCGGTGAAGGCCTCTACTTCCAGAAGTCAAGAGATTCGCAGGTCAACATCTCCTATCTCCTGGCCACTCGCTACCTACTCTCACCATGAACGAATGTAACCCAGATGAGCTCGGAAGCGAGAAAAGGAAAAAGAACGACAAACACCGACTACTTTCTAGATGAGCAAAAATTGGCCCATCGTTCTTTCAAATAAAACAATGGTTTGTCTGTTTTGCCAGAAAGCTTTAATCAATTGCCCTTACTAAGAAGGTATGCAAACAAGCACACAGCCTCCAAGCAAGAATTGCAGAAATTGAATTCCCACCCAGTTACATTGACGTTGGTAATTTATTCACATAAGCCGGAGGCACAACTTTTAGTACAGGAGTCCTTTGTTGATGTAGCAAGCATGCCGGCAGAACTGCGAAAGGGTAGTATCCTAAGCATACCCTTAAATTGGGAGGGCGTCTAAAATAATGATGAGGTTGGTATGGGGCTCAAAAGAATGACCTGAGAATTTAACACAAATAAATAAAGGGAGGATGAGGTACCTTCCAGCAATTGATAAGTAGGCTGGCCTACCCTAGTCTAATGACACCTTTGCGGTCTCTTCTTCACAATACAAGGGTAAAAGTGTCAAAGCCCGCTGATGCACAGAACCGTACATTCGCTGAGGACACAGCCTTCGATCCAGATTAGAAGACACTCTGTAAACCTCGAAATGGAGGCGCATCAATCACAGAGGTGCCAGAGATGCGGCCTGGACTACTTCCAACTGGCGATGATCAAATAGGAGAGCAACTCAAATAGGCTGGCTTGGCTTCTCTTAATACTCTCACTTCAAGGACAAGCCTTCACTTCAAGATGCTCCCATCTGCAGAATCTTCAGCATCTCATGAGACTTACGTAGATTACTTTTGCCTGTCACCCAAAAATCTTCAGTCCTGAATCAAGGACACCGAAGAGAAGCCGCATGCATGTGATGTAAATTGCCGCTCCGTCTTCATGATCCTAGGAGTAAGCCGCCCACCTCGCCATAAGGAGTCCTTAGATTGCTTACTACAAACCAGAGTGACTAAGCCAAATCGGAGGTTGCTTGCTTGTCGATTGACGTGGGCTCGAGTTTGCCACCATCAACAACCGCCTGGTTTGGGCTAGACACAATGTGAATGTACCATCTGTGCTATACTCTAACCATTTCCACTTACGCATCCACTCCGTTGGCAGCTATTAACATTCGCAGACTTGATAAATCCTCAGCTTACTTGCTCGCCAATCAGATCGAGGCCGACAACCAGGAACGAAACCCCTTGAAACAGTAGAAAGTAGAAGTGAACCCCTTGAGCCGACAGCAAACTCCTGGCAGCTGCTGTCAGCAGCAGGAAGGACAGTGCCAACTCCTTTCTGTACAACCTGTTCACCTTCTTCTTGACAACAACCGGCGCAACTGGTTGCTGCTCCTGTAATCTCGCTAGAACATCAAGGCCAGACTCTGAAGTACCCCGGTTGTGTCGGATACTGGGAGGTTGTGGAGTCTCCTTCTCGACAAGACTGGCAAGGTCAGTCTCGGAAGCTCTTCCAGATTTCTTGGTCACAACCCACTCGTAGGCGCTGCTCATTTGGAACAATCCAGAGATCATGGCATTGAACTTGGTCACTGACATTGTATTCTCAAACAATAGATATGGCACAAGGAAGGGGAAGGATTTAGGTGCCGGAAACACGTTCATGAAAGACATGATGGCAGGGATGTAGCAAACCACCCAGGCAGGCAGCTGAGCTTCAGGCACGAACATGGTCAAGGGAAGAATAATGCAGAACAGGGTGAAAGAATAGAACGGCAAAATCAACTTCCTCAGGAGGAAAAAGAGGAATATCAAGTTCCCTTTCTTCCAAATCGAGATCTGCAGGCCATAGGGACGAAAACGCGGAATTAGAACCTTGACATCCTTGATCGACTGCATGGTAAGACGGGCCCAAGGACTCAAGACAAGCCCCCATGGTTGAACAGGATGATGATGCTGCATTTGACCACCAACTGCTTCGAGATACTACTCCAAAACAAGACATCCGCCATGCGATCAATCACAACTGTCGGTTCTTACCTTAGATGTGATGATGTCTGGTAAGCACAGTCGGAACAGCTGCATGGGACCGGAGTGCCAACGGTGCTGCTGCTTCCTGTAGGTCTCGTACGACTCTGGCAATTCACACAAGCACTGCAATTTCGAAGGTCTCAGGGAACGGTGACAAATAACTTCCCACGACAATTGGACGACGATCACATCACCAGTCTACTGAGATTTGTCATCAACAGATCGTACATAGTCATCCATAGTTCTCAGGATAGATGCAGGTGAACTGCATTTGGACGTAAGTCTCCAAAATATGCATGACTGAGGACCAACGCTCTTGCGAATTCTAACGAATACTGCCGTGAACAAGGAGATGCAGATTACGAGACACGCACCTCAACATCGTTCAAGAAGACGAACTTCCATCCCTTCAAATGTGCCCTGACTGCAACATCCATATCCTCGACAGTGGTCCTCTCCAACCAACCACCTGAATCCTCCAATGCCTTGATTCTCCACACCCCGGCAGTTCCATTGAAGCCGAAAAAGTTGATAAAGATACCATTCACTTGCTGCTCAACCTCAAAGTGGAAGGACAGATTGATGTTTTGAAGGCGAGTAAGAAGATTCTCATCTCTGTTCACAAATGTCCACCTGGACTGGACCAATGCCAGCTCGGGTTGATCCTGCAAAAAGTTGATCCCAAGGAGGACGTCAGATGCTGCCGATAAATTGTTAAGATGGCAGGCTAACTTCAGCCATTGCACGAATGGCATCATCAAAGACGAACACGAGACACTGAGGAAGCTAGAGGAGGGGAGTTACCCTGAAATGAGGGATAGTTCTCTTCAAGAAATCGGACTTGGGCTGAAAATCGGCATCAAATATAGTTACAAATTCGTAATCCTTGACATAGTCAACGTTCATGGCAGACTTCAAGTTTCCAGCCTTGTAACCGGTTCGGATGACTCGATGTCTGTATACAATATTGACGCCCTTCATGTGCCACTTCTGGACTTCAGCCTTGATAAGCATCTGGGTATCCTCGTCATCGGAATCATCCAAAACTTGCACCAGCATGCGGTGTCTTGGCCACTCGATTTGGCAGACAGCTGATATGGATTGCTCGTAGACCTGCCAGGCATTCACTTCAACTCAGCTTCTTCAAGAACAAACGAGGGCACAAGTGTATAACAGAGGGAAACAACACTAAAGTGGCAGTCACCAGTTCCAACAAGCGCATCACGCGATGTCCGCGTCTCTCTACAACGAAAAGCCCTAATTTCACAATCCGTCAAGCTGTTCAGTGCGTGCATACCTCTCTCTCGTTACACATTGGAATCTGCAACAGAACCATGGGGTATCCGGCATCGGGATTTTCCGCATCATCCGACTCGAGCGAGGCCACTTTCGGAATGGGCTTCAGATCCTTGATCTTGATCCAGGCGCATCCCAGGCAGAGGATCACTCTGTCGGCCGACTGGATCAGGAACAGCACAATGCACCCATCCGCAAGCATTTGGAGAGGCGGGGCAATGTATTTCAACCTGACGAAGACCCACGTCTGATAGACGGTCTGAAGGAGGCCTTGGAGAGAGAGGGAGTTGGGCATGTGGAATTGAGGGCGACTGAAGTGCCATCCCATAAGGTGAGCGGCGATCTCAAACACCAGCATACACACGGCGAAAGTCAAGAAACCTGTAATGAACTTGTAAAGTTTCCCCTTGTGCGGCTTGTCGGATTGAGGAGCAACTCCCTGCCTCAGAATTAGCCGCTTCTTAATCGCATTCAAAACCGTCCACAGACCCAAAGCCATCCACGCCAAACATCCTGCTGCGCGGTGAGCCTTGAGCAGAAGGACCCAGGTGAGCTGCTTGGCATTTTTCCCCTTATCCTTCTCGCTGTTGGCGAAGGGAGTCTTAGGGCTTTCCAGTTCGAGCATGGACCAATTCGGATTCTCCATCTTCACGACCACGGGTGTTCCTCTGTGCGATTCTTTGTTCCACCAATCCACAAAATCGAAGTTTGGTGGCATCTTCTCGAGGGATGCGCCGGGCAACCTGTCGACAGCAGCGACCACAGACGGGGCTGTCCTCTTCTAACTATTATTGAAGCCCTGCAGAGCTGCAGCGCTCCCAAAGCAAACCAACTCTCGGAGGCTCTTAGCCTCGCTTGCGCTGGACGACGGGAGGCGAGGTGATCATTCCACGCCGAAGCACCGGTGCAGCTGTCACGAAGGGTTTCAGAACTCGGATACGTTCCGGAGAACCCTTTCTCTTCCTTTCCTCCGCATCACCTGTTGAATATCAAGGCCCTCCACCTTTAAAAGACATAATATTACAGCTTCCGGAGCTGGGACCACTACGGAAACGAGTGCGCACTCGTCTCAAACGCGCGGAGCCGCGGGCAGAGCACCACCGGGGGGCCTGATCGCAGATCCTTCCGAGACAATCTGCTCAGAGACCTGCGGCCTTCATACCTCCGGTTGAATGCACAATGCCACTGACCCCATGCTCGTCGACTCGCCCACGAGCCTCCTCCGCTGCCGCCTCGACTGCGAGCGAGGCAAAGCGCATCGACCGGCGGGCAACCCCGACACTTCCGACGCCTCAATCTCGCCTCCGAAACCTAGAAGAAGCAGCCAATTCGCACAATGTCACTTCTTCCGCGCTGCGAGGGCTACGCTACGCGGGCCCAATCTGTCCCTGCGCGCTCTCTCGTGCGCGCAAAAAAAAACTCGTCACGCCCGCTCCGTCGAACGACCCTCCCTCGCCGCTTCTCTATCGCGCACCCTCTCTCTATCTCTCCCGACGATACACGCACCGCGAGGCCTCAAGAAGTAAGTCTTGCTCGTCGACCAGGGGACCCGCTGCGCAGCACGACTGGATGAATATGCGTCCGTGGAATAGGAGAAAGAGGCCGGGAAGATAGGGAAGAAGGGCGAGGCGAATGGCGAGAGCAGAGCAGAGGCGAGGAGAGGAAGAGGAGGAGGAGCGAGGCGAGGCGAGGCGAGGTGCAGTAGTGCAGTGAGAGAGAGAGAGGGGGAGGGGAGCCAGAGCAAGCTTGTGTGGGAGCGGCTCTCCCAGGAAGCTGCTGTGCTGCGATGCTGAGCAGGTGGTGGGGGAAGGGAAGATGTAGTGATCAGCGAAGGTGGAGGAGGATGACAAAAGTCGGGCGGGGGAGGAGCAGTGGCGCGGTGGAAGAGGAGGCAAGCACCAGGAGGGAGGGAGGCAGGCAAGCGATGGAACGAGCGAGCGAGGGAGGGAAGGAAGGAAGGGGGGCAGGGGTTGGGGCAGGGGGAGGGGATGGGGGAGCGGCAGCAAGAGCGGAGCGGAGCTGAGAGGAAGGCGCGGGCATGCATGCAGCAGGAGCAGCGAGAGCGAGCAAGCACACGTCGTCAACGGTGCGCCCGAAGCCCAAGCCCAAGCCCACTGCGGGAGGAGTCGGAGTCGGTCAGACCGAGCGAGAGTGGCCCGAGCAGAGCATCAAGCCTTACAACAAATACTCCCCCGGCCCGAAATCCCTACCGAAGAAGCCAACCGGAAAAAACAAACCCACCAAATTGCGCATTAAAAATTAAGCCCCCGCATCATCATCATCATCATCCGCAATCAACTCACCTCTCCTCTCACGCTCGGCTCGGTTACCCCCTGCCTGCTCCTTCCCCCTCCCCTCCTCCTCTTCCTCGTCCCTCCCCCTCCCCCCCCCCCGACGATGATTCTTTTTCCCCCGCTCCGCTCCGAAACAAACAAGATACAGTAAGCCCCCGAGCTTTCCCCTCGCGAAGAAAGGGGAAGAACAAGAAAAAGCAAATCCCAGTACAGCACAGCAAACGAACAGCCCCCGCCCCGATTTGGGGCTATGGCGGACGGAAAGGCAACCAACCGCACCGGACTCTGTAGACTAACCCCCCGCCCGCCGCTTGCCTGCCTGGCCTGGCGATGGCGCAAAAGGCAGCCAGCCGCGATCACCAGCGAGAGAGAGAGCGAGCGATCAGATCGCGAGCTCCGGCCTCGGAGCCTCAGGATCGGAACTCGGAGCTCCGTCGGCTGGACGGATGTCGCTCGCTATGGCGGAAAAGGCAGATCCGCTCCCGCTCCGGTTGCGCAACGAGCTTGTGGGCTCTGGCTATGGCGGACAGGAAGGGGCAGGGCTTACAGAGCGTGAGAGTGCTAGAGAGAGCGAGAGCGAGAGCGAGGTGCGCAGCAAGAGTGTGATGGGCTAACGGAGCCTGCCGCTTCCCCCGCTCGGCTGACGCTGCCGCGCCTTCGCCCTCGGCCGACCCTGCCTCCCTCCCTCCGTCGGTCGGCCGACGGACCTGGCTGTCCTCTGCCCCTGCACAGCCCCCGCGGACCTACCCCCTGCCACATGCGGCAGAGTAGCTTCATTATAGATGTCCGCGGCTAATTTGATTTCCCTTCTAAATCATCGCGAATATTCCTCCAACGTCCGTCTCCCCGGTCGAATACTCAGTGCGAACGCTGCTGGCTTCACGAGGAAGCTACCGCTCTCCTTTGCGCGGGGCAGCGATGGAAGCCCATGGATGGCGTTTTGATACTTTCGCCTGAGAAGGTCTCCCGGGGGACGCTAGCCCCGAAATTAATTCCGTCCTCAATTGGGGGTACAGTGTTGCGACGTTGAATGGGTCTGAGGGCGAAGGGTCGGTTGGGACGGGGAACGGAAACGGATCAGTCCGTTGACGACAACGGGGGCGAGGGTTATTCCACGCTCCGAAGTTCAACCTGGCCTGCGGCGGACGTTGAACGGAAGAGGTGGACGGAGTCAGCGAGACATCCGTGCAGCGAGCCGCGACCTTCCGTTTACCGATGGCGGACGCCGGTCCCGTCCGCGCGGGCCTTGGCCTCCCGCGGTACGCATGTCATGTTACCTCAGGCCCGGTCTAAGGTGCCGTGGTAAGCTCGAATAACGCCGCTGTACTTTGTGGTACACTTTCAGGTCGTGTCCTTCGCTTCGCCCGCAGCCGAAACTCCGTTTCCCCCCCCAACCCCTCCCCCCCCCGTAAGCGGTTTGACCTTCGCCGCGTTCCGTTAGTGCTAACTGGCCTGTTCTGTCGACAGCTAATCGGCTGCCGGCCCCGCGTTAACTCGACAGCCGACGGATGACTAGACGAGGAGGGGGTCTTGAGATAGCACGAACGTTCGTCATCGAAATGTTCGTCCCCGCGTCGATGTCCGACGGGCGGGCGGGCGGGAGGGGGCTGGAAACTCCCACCGGTTAGAGGGAGGGGGAAAGGGCTCGTCGGGAGGTGATCGTGGTCGTGGTCGTCTCCGTGGTCGTCGAGTAGGTACGGCGTGCGGGGCCTGGGCCTGGCCTTTCCACTTATGGAAATGGGGCGTCCTCGGATGATGATGGCATGGCATTCGGGATGGGATGGGGGGGTGCCGAGGTGGTTGACCAGCGCCAGCCTTTTGTGACCGGGCAGATGAAGGAGGGGGGAGGGGGGAGGGAGTTGTACGTGGTACAGAGGCGGTAATAAATCATGGTTGGGGCTGGGGGTACTTTACGGGGCTCCCGTGGAGGCGCAGCGGGGGCATGATAAAACCGGCTAAATTGGGCGGGATCGTGGGGTCCATAGCCACCACCTAAACACACTTAGTGCATGGCGACAGGTGAGATGCAGGATCATGGCCCGTCTATTTATATCGAACCATGCCTTTTGGTGCTCTTGGCCCAACCACAACCCAGTGCTCCGCGATGACGTGACTCGCTCCGGCAAAGAGTGGGGGATTCTGCGCGATTGTACATGGCCATGGTTCCGGCCCTCCGGTGACGAGATATGTGGTAATCAGCGCTCGATCCGATCGCCATCACATCGACCGGGTGTCGTCGCACAATGCGCTCGCCGGGGCTTAATTGGGCAGCGGGCGTGATATTAGGGCCAGATTATCAACTGCAGGCCTTAACTTGAGGTGAGTGATGTGAAGTGAGGCGAGCGTGCAGGTTTAGTGGGCATGATATTCGCGCGAGCTGACACTCGTCGTTTTGACGAGTATGGTGGGTTCAAGGATGTTGGAGTTATGGTGCGTTTCTTGATCTTGGACATTCGCCGGCTTCCTTCTCGGAGTTATGAGTTTTTTTTTCTCTCCTTTTTTCTGCATTTAAAAAATAGATCGTAAAATTTGGCAATTTTCGGAAATGGTCTTTTGGTGGGCTGACTGGTAGGGTTTTTGATCCTCGGCTTGTTGGCTCTCCTTTTCAAGATGGTAAGTTGCAAATCATGGTGATCATGTTATGGTGAAGAGAACGCCGTAATATAACTAGGGTTTCTGATCCGATGGTGATGCGAACATGGTCGGGTTATGGTGGCAATTGGAAAAGGCTATTTCTTTGTGCACGTCGTAAATTGGAAATTTGTCTTCTGGCGAGCTGAATAGTAGGGTTTGCGTATCGGAGTTATGAGTTCTTGCTCGATTTCTATTTTTTGGGATCGAAAGTTGGCAATTGGGAAATTGTGTTTTGTGGTGAGGTTAATAATAGAGATTGATTTTAGGGTAGTGCAAATATGGTTGGCTTCTGGGGGTAATTGCAAAGGGGGTGGTGGTGAGGAAGGAATGTCACCGTCTGAGTGCATCTGATCGGCACTGTATGAAACTCATTCATTTTCATGTGCGTCGAATCTTGGAGGGTACAAAGATCACGTTGTGGTCCCTTTGGTCCCGAGGCCGGTGATCTGTCACTCGGGCCTCATTCTAGCGCTGCTTGCGATCAACAAACAATTGCTATAAGGGTTTCATTTATTGAAGATGCTAGGCTTGTGATCCGATTCTGCTAGTGACACAAGGATCACGTTTGGAGTGTTTAGAGTCCAACCCCGGTCCTCTTCCAATACAATAATGCTTTGTGGCAAACATTTCACCAAAGGATCAATGTGGAAGGATACACTTTTCCCACCGAGGTGCTCTACCTCTTCGAGGTTGTCATGTCTGACGAAGCTTGCCATAAAAGCCACGGTAATATTCGGCCAAGAAGCAAGAAGTATGTTCTAGCAAAGTGGTTGCGGGAAAACTGACCTTGAGGTTGATGCATACACGTCGATGTAGTCACTCAAGATGCTAGGGAAAAAAAACACGAGCTGCATGGGGTTAACCATCTTCTTTCTTCTTCCTCGAGTTTCTTCGGGGTATGCATGGGATGTCCGGATAAACATATATTCTCGATCCCAATAAAGATGTCACAACGAAGGTTCACCCACACGATATTGTCTACATGAATAAGAGCATCTCAACAAGCTTTATCTCCACCTTCTGTCCCTTGTTCCTTGAGCGGCGGCGATATTCGCACATTATTTCGCACATTATTTTTCGATGTTGGCAATCTTCACAAGTTGAACCTCAACTCTTTGCTGGTCCAAATCTTTCCCTTTCCTTTCCCCGGAAAGCTTTGGAGAAACTTGCTGGTAATGTTCATAAGGGCGAAAACGTCTCGCCCATTTCTGCGCTTGCATGATGTTCCTCAGAATTGAACCTTGCTTACATCTTTTCCAGCCTACTGACAAAACCGTTATGACTTCCCAGCTCGAATACTGTTTTTCCAAATGTTCTTTCCTGCCTTCGCCACGCGAGCAAATATTGCGTCCACAACATCCAGTTCTTTTGGACTCTCGTGCCAGCCAACATCACACGGGCAGTCATGACCATCGTGTAGTATTGATACAACGAAAGGCCTCGTCAAAGCCATTTCTTTCGCTGTAGATTCTCCGGTTCTTTTTTGTGGTGGCAATGCGTTTATGATGAACAAGCCATAGTCAGAAGCACCAGTTACTTGAATAAAAGAGGCAAAGACGAGCAGGAAAAAGGGCTCGGAGACAAAGGCCACGGAGACAAAATCACTCTCCAATTATGCTTTGTCATTTGCTATCATGTTTGGAAACATTAGCTTTTTCCGGATCATTCGATTCGGAAGTAAACTGCAAGCAACATAACCTTGGACGCTAACATAGGGACTTCTAGAGTCGTGGTCGGTATCCTCTTTCTCCACTAGAATATTCTTTGCTTAAGGTCAAGCTTATGTTTCTTGATATGCCGAACATCCGCCTATATTTTAATTCAATAGCACGAGTAGCATTGAGCTGTTGCATGGCTTATGATCCTGCCGATCTGGTTCTAAAGATATTCCCAAATGCTGGGCTCTTTCTCGTTGGTTTTATCCAGAAACATTCGGCTCAAGATCAAATCGCTGGGTTCTAATCTGCATGTTTTGATCTTCGAATGTCGTTTTTTATCTTTAGAGTCTCTGTCCACGTTGGGCTTTGAGAGTGGGACACAGAAAAGATACATCGAGCGTAGTTGCTCGTCCTACTCTGTCGCTCTACATGATCTCGTAAGAGCCAGTGTCAAATAACTTTAAGATCCAACAATCCTCTTCGACGAACTTTTTTGTTCTCTAAATTTCGTTTTCTTCTTCTTTTGTTAGTTTCTATGGATTTTCTTTTTGGATCGATGTCTAACATGATTTTAATGTCCTCGTCGTTCCCACAACTTTCCACCTCTTTGTG